ATTTTGACCACAAAGCCCTATTAGAATGTATGCATTATATCAAATTTGATGATCAGTGAAATGTATGCTGCTTAAAATTGTTTGGAGAAGTATCAGCGGTAGGCACCCATAAATATAATAATGGTCGAAAGGAAAATAATTGTTATCAGTCTCTTGAGTTCTGAGTGGAAAATAGGGCTTCAACAACACATCTCCACTTTCTTCTATTTTCTGCTGCCCATAATCTCTCATCTCCTTCTCACCACACGATCTCCTCCATGTCATCTTCGCATTGATGACCCACTCATCACTCCCAATTCGGATTCCGTTCGAGCAATGACTTGCATTGCGTGCGATGTCATTTAATGGCCTCCTCAACGTATGCACGATCAATCTCCATTTTATACCACATATTTCTTGAGCAGTCGGTTCCTGGTTGGTTTGTTCCCAGCCACAGTTTCTTGTTGCTAATTCTTTCTGGCCAGCCGGCCATTTGATATTCAGAATGGAGTTACTGAAGACAGCTGTTGATAAATGTTTGCAGCAAGCTGTTGAAAATCCTTTTCGTGACACTCCGGCCATGTCTCTGACCCATATAGAAGAACTGACTCACTTGACATTTGTATTGGGAATTCGGATTGATTGATGCTGGTTTTTATCGCTGTTGGTTGTCTTCATCAACTCCATCTTCTCTATGTTCACCTGCACTCCTGTCTTCGCTGACAGCCTCTCCAAATAGTTTGTTGGTTTTCGCCTCTAAGTCTTCGAGTATGTGTGACATTAGACATAAATCATCCATGCGCGAAATCCAGATCTTCTAGATTCTTCTTATTGGTGGTCCAGCCTACTCGATTCTTTTTACTCCTCATGCAGAGTCTGACGCATAATCCAGTCCTCTACAATTAGGAATATCATTGGTGATAATAGGCAGCCAGCTTGTCCTACACTTGTATTCACTGAAAGAAAACAATTACCTAAAATGAATAACAATTTTTAAAAAACCACTTTGAATTTTTCATAATCTCATCAATACTACTTGATTTGACCTCGGATAAACTGTAAAAGGTTTTAATATATGTGTAAAACTTGGGCACTGTGGTAGTAAGTAATTCCATATTAGTTTATTTATTAGGTATATCACACAGTGTGAAACAGTATTATTTACTGGATGACGTTTCGAACAAAGTTTATTGTTCATAATCATATCAATTGTGATCACACGACTTTGACACTTGAGTTTTATAGCTTTCTTTGTTTTCTCCAATTTGTCTTAGGGGGAGTAGAATTTTCCATATATCGGGGACAGGTGATGAATCATTCCTATTACATGTATTTGCAGTTGATTCAATAAACAAACCTTCTGTTATCAATCTCTCCCTATACCCTGTGACATTAGATTTTAAAACTGTCATCCTATCCCATCCTAATGTATGGTTGTATGTGACTGCATGTAGTGCTATAGCTGAACTGTTCTCTAGATTTCTTATTTTATTCGGGTCAACCAATCTAGATTTTGCTAAGTTTTTATGTTCAGCTAGCTGAATGACAGTTTTAAAATCTAATGTCACAGGGTATAGGGAGAGATTGATAACAGAAGGTTTGTTTATTGAATCAACTGCAAATACATGTAATAGGAATGATTCATCACCTGTCCCCGATATCTGGAAAATTCTACCACACATACGACAAATGGGAGAGAACAAAGAAAATTATAAAACTCAAGTGTCAAAGTCATGTGATTACAATTGATTTGACTATGAACAATAAATTTTGTTCGAAACGTCATCCAGTAAATAATACTGTTTCACTGTGTGATATACCTAATAAAAAAACTAATATGTAAAAGATTTTGTTTTTCATATTGAAAGACAGGGATAATCCACTTAAACGTCGTTTAAGCTGACCAACACATCATCATAAAAGAAACTTTTATTGATAATAATCTTTTCTATGTCTCACGAATGCTGAAAAGTATAATATAATTTAGCGAAGATTAAGAAAATTCATATTATGACAGCTTAATCTTAGTAAGATTTACCTTCACTTCTAGACAGGTAATTCATATCTGAGAGAGTAAAGCAGAATTATCTGTTAAGTACATATGAAATCGAGCTCACCAATCGACTTCAAAGTTTAAAAACAACGATGCTTCTCATACGCAGGTGTTTAACACAAATTTTTCTAAGGATATGAGATGTACAAAATTTTGTGATATTCAAATTTACAACTTCGAGAGTGGACCAAATCCCAGGCACCGTTGTTTGTTGAATCTGTAGTGTATGCAACCTCACAGGGCAGACATTAAATCACAAATTATGTCACTGGAAAACTGAATAAGAGGAGAATCGGAATATAAATCTTGTCATCATTGTTTCAAAATATTTCAGTCTCAATGCCTTCTGCTACGCGTAAGAATCTATATCTATCTTATATTCATAGCGCTTTAGTAATATTTGCTTTATCTCCAAAAGCTTACGTTGATAATTCAGTGCTTTTTTGTTGGGAGCAAAGCTTAATCACTTCAACTTATTTTGTTTCTGCAGATGGTTAGTTGGGACACCAGTGCTGATACTGAAAAAGATTTGTCTGTGAATAACTCGTTCCGGACATGATATAGGACACATGACTTAAGACGCAAACTGAGAATTGTGAAGTAGTAAATATAATAATGTGCGTCGGTGGTATAGCGCTTAGGACGCTCATGCACATGGTCCGGGGTTCGATCCCCAGCCGGCGCACTCCTTTACCTTGCTGAGCCAGATATAATGTTGGTAAAGGGGGAAGGTTAGGTATGAGGCTAGCAACCCCATCCTGTAAAATAAACACTGCTACAGAAACTTCAAGCCACTAGCTTGAAGCCCTATGTTCCACTGGGGAACGTGAGGGGAAAAAATATATATAATAATAATTTTCCTTCTGTTCTAAATGAAGCTTGGAACTGATGGAATATTCGTGGTAAAATCTCAGCTGGATAAAAATTATACGGCCACACTTTCACCCTGATACAGTGTTCTTGGTTTGTGTAATTCTCACTGAATACCAGCGCCAGGCCAAACCATTTAGTTCAAGATCCTATACTCATCTTTATTAATAAGTCTTTTACTATTACTTATTTACATTCAAACTAACAAGTATTGTGAATTTTCGGTATTCATTGGTTCTAGTGCTCCATCTGCAGCTGTAGCGTCAAATATGAGCCCTACTATAAGGTTTCATATTCTATACTGAAGATCAGATGGCCGGAAAGAATCACCAACAAGAAACTATGGGAACAAACAAAACAAAAACCAATCGCCCAACAAATATGCAGGAGAAAGTGGAGATGGATTGGACACTCGCTGAGGAGGCCATTGGGTGACATCGCGCGTCAAGCCATAGCTCGAGTGGAACGCGAAAGGGAAGCGGCGAGTGGGACATCCAAGGGTGACATGGAAGAGATCGTGTGAAGAGGAGCTGAAACAGTATGGAATAACATGGATGCAGGTGAGAAGTACATCAGAAGATAGAAGCAAGTGGATACGTGTAGTTGAAGCCCTTTGTTCCACTAGGAACCCAAGGGAACAATAATAATAATAAAGGTTACATATGTTGGCGAATGCAGTGAATGGCCAGCGAGGCGATTTTAGTGGTAGACATACTGGGGCACGTAATGTGTGTAGTGTCCTGAATGCACTCATAATCCAAAGGCTTTTGTTTCGTAAGACGATGGCATTTGCTTTGACCTCACCAATGTTCTACTATGATCATAAAAAATTGCTGTAAACTAGTTGATTTCAAAACCTAATTTACAATAAATTAAACATTAAGATATACCTTCCTGTAAATTTACATACCTCTTCTTACTTTCAAAATATTTTAGCTCCAAAGGGCGAGAAAACATGTAAGGACTTACATTTAGTATTGTAATTGTATTAGTTATTTCTGAAGACAATTATCCCAAAATTTATTTCTTATAATGCACTGCTTTGCTAGGTCTCTATCAAACCAACGTTGACTTCATAAGTATGCATACACATGCTAACAGTTAAATGTTGCCCGTTAGCCAACAGTCACTGCAGATTCTTGATATCTCCACATCTACACACAATAATGCCACAAGGTTATTGGTTCAGTTACTTGTTTTATCTGTAAGCACCACTATTACTTCACCAAAGTTCTTTCAATGCTCCACATATATGACATAAAATCAATCGCTGTTTTTAGTGTAAAAAATAATTATATAATAGTTGGACCACATGGAAGGTATCTCTAGATTTGTTTTAAACGGAAAATGACAGCGATGAAATTTGATTACTTGTTAGCGTCTGTTCACGTTCGATTTGCATTTTCTTAGACGTCGTGTCCTACTAAAAAAAGAATTTTGCTTTAAAATAAAATACCATAGAAATACTAACAGCACAATCTCATACTTGAGTAAAGTCTATTCTTTACTTTTAGCATCTGGTGGTTTATTGGATACGTTACTTGGGTGAGAAATATTATATGTCAGTGATATATTAGGAATTCAATTATAACTCATTTTTCTCCCATATGCGTGACATTCACATAGGATAGTAGGTAACAACGATTACTTCAACAATGTTCTGTAATTGACCGAATTGAAATATTATAGAATTTCTATGGCAGCAAAGAAAACATTTGAGAATTAAACATCTGCTTCTAGGTGTGCACATGACAATTACTAGTGAACGCTATCACAGAAATAAGCAGCTGTTCTTACACAGCTACTTTGCAACTGGACTTCACTGTTATTTATCAGCTGCATCTCTCCTAATTATTCCTTACTTTTCGACTTCATTCACAACACTTATTCCGTCTCAGTGATTTTCTTCAGACTCATTTTGGGATTTACTCTTTTAATGTGAATAAATTATCTTCAAAAGAGTTAGATGGATATCGTCTGCTTCAGATAGAACCATGCATTAGAAACCTCAGCGTTTCGTCCTAATTCAATAAATGTGATAACGTGAAATCTGAAATATTAAAACGCTATCATAAACCATTGGTTAGCTGGTTTCTGAATGCATCATATCAGTCTGCGAATGTTGTTGATTACAAATTATGAAATGACTCTACGTTTTGTCAATATACATAACTCAGTGCCTGTAAGTTCATAAATAATGTTTGTATATTCATGTAAACAATCGCGTCCTCAATATGAATCGTAGAATCAAATTTATATAATGTTACGACAGACATTGTGCGTCGGTGGCGTAGCGGTTAGGACGCTCGCCGACCATGCACATGGTCCGGGGTTCAATCCCCGGCCGATGCACTCCTTTACCTCGCTAAGCCAGAACTAAAGCTGGTGAAGAGGAAAGGTCGGGCATGAGGCTAGCAACCCCATCCTGTAAATAAACACTGCTACAGAAACTCCAAGCCACTAGCTTGAAGCCCTATGTTCCACTGGGGAACGTGAAGGAAAAAAACGACAGACATTAAAACCATAAAGAGTATCCACGAGTACCTGAAAAAATATTACTGATTTTACTTAGCCCGGGCCTTAATATCTGCGATCTAAAACCCAGTCCTACCACCACATTACACGGGACAGTGAGGCTAGTAAATGATGATAATAAACTAACCCTTGAGTACTGTTTTTCAATGACCGAACACACGTCATCAAGTATTTTCACCGCTTAGAGAATACACGATAAAAGAAATATCCCGTGATTAGTAATTTCAGTATGCTAACCTATTGATTTACATAATGTATATGTATCAGTGTAATGAACTTGGGGAGTTAGATTGTCCCGGTGAATACTTTAAATAGTCATTAGTTAGTCAGTGAAGTGAAACTACGTGTGCTAATGACATCGCTAATTGAGACAAGGTCACACGCACATTGAACAGGTAATTACCTTCTGTTATAAAAGTGTCTGTGGCATAACTGACTACCTTGATGTGTTAAAAGTCAATCTGAACGAAGAATAACGGAAGTTGGAATTCATGGGCTGGCCACTGGATCGAATCTCAGTGGCTTGATGGTCTACAAGCCCACCTTGTGACCGGAAGGTGTTTGGTTCGAACCCCGATAAGTTCGTTCTCTTGCAGAGTCCCAGACTAGGACGGAACAGCTGTCCAGTACTCTCAGGCTTTCCACTGGTCTTCTAACCAATGTCAGCTCATGATTAAAATAAATATTTGAATAAGGCATTTAGAAGACAAATTTCGCGAGATGATATCATTTCGTAGTTTCTTTACAACCGCTTTACAACTAACATGGCTAACAATAATAAAATAAAGATCGTGACAATTACTCAGTTATATAAAAAACAAAAGTACATACTAATGACCAGTCATATTTAGATAGGTCATGTTGTCCAAGGTAGGCGAAGACTGAAGTCTATTTTTTTTTTGTACATACAGTTTAGGCTGTATATGATTAACCCAAAGTGCTTCCATCACCTTCAATAACCTTGAATTAGAGTTATGTGAAATAAGTGTGAAGCAGTCATTAATATTGATTTTGTGACCTGATATTAATAAGTGCTTTGCAATGAATGATGATGGATTTCTATTCAGATTAACTGCATTGGGATTTTCTGTGTTTTAATAACCATTTTGGAACATTATCTTTTCGATGAAATCGGAGCATTCTCTTGTTTCTACCTAAATAGGTGTCACCACAGCTGCAGGTCATTAGTATTTACTTTTGTTTTAGTTAACTGAGTAATTGTCACGATCTTTATTTTATTATTGTTAACCATGTTAGTTGTAAAGCGGTTGTAAAGAAACTACGAAATGATATCATCTCGCGAAATTTGTCTTTTAAATGCCTTATTCAAATTTATCAAAGGGACTAATTGTTTTAAAATAAATATTATTTGTGTGACAAGCGTGCTGGGCTGAATCTAATTAAAAAATATTGTGAAATAGGAGACAGTGGTGGTGATTGGTCATAACAGTTTCATACAATGTGGGGTAGGAATAATTGACAAGTCAGTTCAAGGTTGTAGTAGCCACTTACTTGACACCACTTTACGAATCTATTATGACTAATCACCACAATTGTCTCCCATTTCACAATATTTTGTAATCGATTTCAGCCTAGCACGTTTGTCATACAAATGATATTTGACTGGTCAAAGGATTTTATCATGAGCTGACATCAGTTAGAAAACCACCGGAAAACTTGGGAGTACTGGAAAGCTGTTTTGTCCTAGTTTGAGACTCTTCAGCACTACGCATCCACCAGAGTTCGAACCCAGGATCTTTTGGTTACAAGGCGAGCCCCTTCGACCAATCAAATAAAATATCTACTCGAAAAGTGATCTGATGCTCACTAGCGACTGGCCCTATTCATGCAGTGACCTGGGGTTCTAGTGGGGAGCCGTGACCAGTAGGGTAGGGCACGTTGAAGGTGAGGCAGTAACACATCGAAGAAGACATTGAGAAGTGGTCGCGCTATGTCATGAATTGACAGAAGTTAGAATTCATGGGGAGGCCATTGGATCGATTCCCAGTGGCTTAGTGGTGTACGAGCTCGCCTTGTAACCAGAAGGTCCTAAGTCTGAACCCCAGTGGATGCGTAGTTCTGAAGAATCCCGTACTAGGACGAAACAGCTGTGCAGTACTCCCAGGTTTTCCAGTGGTTCTCTAACTGATGTCAGCTCATAATGAAATCCTCCAACCAATCAAACAAAATCCCTAAGAAACCAATACTTGACAAATACTATTTATTTTGACACCCCATAACCAATCAGTTATTCTACGTTAAAAATGTTTCCGCCGCATAACTGGCCATTATTGTAACGATAACAAATATAATATTTTATAGTTGTAAGAACCTGAAGAGAAACTATTAGGAAGAATATTCTTCATTCAGATTGACTTTTAATTCATGATCATGGAATATTTCACACTAAAAAACCTCGATGTGTACTACTTCATTTTCATTTTTGAAGCAACATTGATGCATTAGCTAGAAGCATTGTACATTAGAGATTATAAAGAGATATATTGTTTCATGTATAAGTCAAGTGTAGTGCTTTTAACTAACATTCATTCTTCATTACCTAGTATATTTAACGACTGATATTTGAGAACATTATCATTATGGTAATGACTGAAAATGAATTCAACATGAACAGTTAATCTAAACTTACGCTAGTCCACAAACTCTCCTGTTCAAAAGTGGTGATTCTACTTTTCATAATTTTCCCAGTTGGAAGTTTCCTTCCTGCATCTAATAGCGAGTGAGTAATACTTGATACAGTTTTATTTAAATATCTCAATATATACACACAATTTCTCAACCGGCCGCAAACTACGTTCATCCCAGTGGTTACTGAATTGCAATCGTTCGATAGCCAGCATCAGTAAAAATGGTGTATTATTATTATTATGGCCTCGTATTTTCAATAGAACTTCAAATTCAGTGTGCAATGTGCAAAATAAATCTCATTCCAAACTGTCTGAAACCATTTATCATCCAGAACAAAAACTCATTCCCTGGAATAACAAACGAGTCTAAGACAGTTTTACAATGTAGTAATGTAACTTAGGTAACAATTAACGTATAAATTCTGCAGGCTTCATCTGGAGAGACAAAATGACTCCCCATTGAAAGCTACCATTTGTAATTCATTGGTGAGATTAGGGCTCATATTTAGTGAACTTTCTAAATTTTACTTATATTAGAGGATGAAATTACTTTCATCCTGTAACTTGTATATTTGAATGGTGATCAAATAGGCCGTACTGTCGAGTTCATTTGCTCAAGCATATCGCTTTCACACTTACATTACAGGAGTAACAGCTGTGAGTTTAAGACAAAATACTGTTTAGTTTCGCACGAATCTGAGGTCAAGCAAACTAATGTCCTAACAGTTTCTTAATTTTTATCACTAATGCACGAATATCAACTACAACTCGGCTAGAAATACCATCAACGTCACGTGGAGAACTGCCTGCCAGTGGACACCGATCCTTCAACTAAGGCAGAAATCCTAAATGCGATCAAGCTACTGAATGTTAGCCGGGAAGTCAGCAGGACCAGACGGAATTTCCCCCAAATCACTGAAAACGGACCAAGAGACTGCGGCAGATGTGCTAACACCATTATTGCAAAATGTTTGGGAGTAAGGAAAGGTACCCACCGATTGGAAGAAAGGCTAGCTACTTTGTCAAACTACCATAGGAGGGCGAACTAGGCCTGTGGAAGAAGTGGCGTGGAATCATGCCCTTGTCCACGCCAAGTAAAATACTAAGTCGCATCATCCTGGAGAGAGAATAGAAGATGTATTGGATACAGAACTCCGCCCAGCCTCAACAAGCTGGATTCAGGGAAGGCAAATCATGCGCTGATGAAATTGCAACCTCTACCTCAACTCCTTTCATCGACTTCGGAAAGGCCGTTGACAGCGTTGACCGGGAAGTAATTTGGAAACTGCTTCAACACTACGGTGTGCTGTGCCCAAATCTTTATCAACCTCATTCAACAGCTGGCCCTATGACAATTCAACGTGTCACGTGATCCACACTGGAAAACTGAGTGAGCCATTCGAAGTGCATACAGGAGTAAGACAAGGCTGGCTGCCTATTATCACTGATGATATTCCTAATTGTAGTGGACTGGATTATGCGTCAGACTCTGCATGAGGAGTAAAAAGAATGGAGTACGCTGGACTACCAATAAGAAGAATCTAGAAGATCTGGATTAGTGATGTCACTTGTGGTTTCCTCAGAGTATGGCCAATCCATCTCCATTTCTTCCTGCCTATTTGTTTCACAATCGGTTCCTGGTTGGTTGCTCCTAGAGATCTCTGTTGTGATCTTTTCTGGCATTATGAGTATTGAGAATAACTCTCGCGTGGATGATTTATGTCTAATGTCACACAAACTCGAAGACTTAGAGGCGAAAACCAACAAACTAGCTGGAGAGGCTGTCAGCGAAGACAGGACTGCAGGTGAACATAGAGAAGATGGAGGTGATGAAGACAACCAACCAACAGCGATAAAAACCAGCATCAATCAATCCAAATTCCCAATACAAATATCAAGTGAGTCAGTTCTTCTATATGGGTCAGAGACTTGGCCGGAGTGTCACGAAAATGATTTCCAACAGCTTGCTGCAAACATTTATCAACAGCTGTCTTCAGTGGCTCCATGCTGAATATCAAATGGCCAGCTAGCCAGAAAGAATTAGCAACAAGAAACTGTGGCTGGGAACAAACCAAGCAGGAACCGATCGCTCAACAAATATGTGGGATAAAATGGAGATTGATCGTGCATACAATGAGGAGACAGTTGGTTGACACCGCACGCCAGGCTATAGCTCGAGTGAAATCCCAGTTGGAAGCGACAAGTGGGTTGTCGGTGCGAGGTTGACATGGAGGAGATCATGTGATTTGGATGAGGAGATGAGAGATTATGGTCAGTCGTGGTCCCATCTGAAGAGGGCAACAGAGAATGGAAGAAAGTGGAGATGTGTTGCTGAAGTACAATGTTCCGCATGGAACCCAAGGGAATAATAATAATAGAGGAAATTGTAAGCAGGTCAGAATGAAGTATTTATACCTACAAAAATTTGGTGGCGAAATATCGAAATAAATTTGTGTAGGGACAGCTAGATGCCCACGAGGTGTCGTGTTAACGTTCATGTCGTTCACACATCATTTTACTATTACTTGTAAGTTTTCATGTCAAGGCTACGTAAGCAATAATCAGCATAGTCACAGATTACTCACAAACGTTGGTGGGTGCCACGCACTTTTTGCTCTACTCATTTAGAAGATGAATGCATTCGTCTATAAAATCAAACAGTATTTGAAACAATTGTCACATTTGGTTTTTAGATCACTGTCAACTTAATAAATTGTCGTCAGCGAAGACTAATCAAGATGAGAACATCCAACGAACTTTCGATCTTCCCTTTCCAAAATGTCATACGGTCTTTAAAACAAACATTTCAATAATCTAGTGAGAATAATAATTACCTGGTTAGGGTAGGGCCCATCACACTCTTATGAGAAAGAATAAACAAGGTTCCTGATTAAAAAAACAAAATGTTCGGTCACACTGTCTGAAATATACAACGATAAAACTGATCATCTTTAAAACTGTAACCATCGCGTTCGTCAGGGCCAATACAATAGCTGAAATTTCAAGGAAATGTGTTGTGACACTGAACTGCCAACAGTCCTCTCAGAATAAATAGTGATAACCACTGGACACCAACTTTTGAGATACGAAATTTGTTCTGAAAGGCACTTTAACAGAGACATTCTGATTTGCAAATGTTCTGCAAGGCCTAAGGACATCGTAATTCATTCTTTATTGTTTACACATAATTACAGTCTCAAATGTTTGAATTAACGTACTGTGTTCTTGTGCTTGAACAAAGCTGAATAAATAACTGGAAAATTCGTTAAAAATCCTGTGATTACCGATCTAACATTTTGTCCACAGATTAACCTTTGCACACCAGTAGATACTGAAACTGATATTCCTAAATATTTAGCACCATCATTGCTTGGACTTTTATCTAGGTAAGTAATTTCGACATACATTTCATATGCAGCTACCTCTAATCAGGTAAAAAATATGTATATATATGTATACTAAAAGGTGGGAATAATTTAACACTATGAACTTATTGACAATCAGTGATATTGGACTCGAAAGTTTTATGCCATACTGGAAACCGTTCGCTAGCACTTCAGAATGCATGGAGTTATTCATTTTAATCACAGTTATGATGTAAATTTTATGGATGCAACTCCATGTGAAGAAAAGTAAGTTGTGAAATCTAATTACCAGTTTGCTTAACTAACCCCGCCCTCTGATAGAATGTCCACAACGGTTCAAAGTGTTCAACGACTAAGGCAACTATCAAATATTCAGCTACTGAAAGGTGTATTGTCGTTTAAAATCAAAAAAACAAGTTCCCTAGTATATCCAGATGAGTCATCTAGCAAACGTATTCCAGCAGGACCAGTTTTTATGGTGTTCTAAGGAATATTGGCTGCGAATTAACATCGTCTGAAAATACTTTTGACAACTTTTGTCTCCAGTTACTCACGTATGCATCCGAATGTTTTCCATTTTTCAGTGTGGGTGAGTGTATAAATTTTGGAAAAAATACTATCACAAAACAGCACCAGGAAAACATTTGATTTTAAATCGATGGTGCCTTATTTTCAGTGTATCTGTTGTTGCAGTTCATTGTGTTTGCATACACTACTTTGTCTGAGGACTAAAACAAATTAGAATTGTGTCAGGCTTTATTGCATCGAAAATTTGCAATTTCATTATAATACTGTTCTCACTTTTACGCCTTTAAGTGGAAGGAAAGTAATCCCAAATGTCAAACAGACGATACCTGAAGAGAATAGACAAACACTTTCCACAACTTAATGACTGTCATTTATTCAACTGACATTCTGAAAATCTAACTAACTCATTGCTCATGTTCACTCCATTACTAGGAGATTTACATCTTTCATACTGCACATCATTGTCACCCGTCAGAATGTTAGGTATGTTTGCAAACAGTTGAAGATTACTGGCGAACATCTGACAATAAGTGAAACAATGTGTATAATATAGAACAGCCTGTAGCTTTTAGAGTCGCAATACAGTTCATTTGAATTAGCAATGAGATAATATGATCTTTAATACATGAATATTGAGAATACATAAGATATTTGAATGGATAGCGTGACTTTAGATTTAACCAGTCTTTATCGCTGTTAAGTATGCAAACAAATTTCTTACTTAGTGACTTCAATAAAAATAAGACACCGTTAGTTGGAAATATACCATGAATTAAGCGTTATTTTCCGTGACTTTAACTTGACTTACATTTTGATGTAGCTGCGTCCTTTGAGCTGGATATTCTACTTGAGAAGTTTTCACGGCCTTACTTCATCTTCACTGCATACTTCAGTTTAAAGTGAGCATTTAAAAGCGCTGAAGATGTTGCCTAGTAAGGCAATGAAAGCTTCACAAGTAAACCATCCAGCTCAGAGAATATACTATATCAAAATCATCCACCTGAGCTACAAATCTCTATCATATCTAACTTATATTTATTGCGCGCAAATCTATGAAGCCTATATTTCGACTGCTGAGGTTGTTTATAAGTTTCTTTTACTGATAAACTCTTTCAGCGGGTGGTTTTTTACCCACTTCACTTGCACCGTGAGCGTTGTTTTGCGTAATATAATAATTGTTATTTCAGATAAAAAATCAAAAATTTTTTGGCGTTTTTATTTGTGTACGTATTCTTATGTGACAAAGTAGGAATATGCACCTCCTGTTCGGTAGGAATAATCAGTGAATAACTCTTCAGAACAGTTTAAGGCTCACTGAGTCGTCTTCCTTTAACACGGTGAAAGTTTAGCACTGTATCGTAAACGCTTTGTGTAGGGTGTAAACTACAGATACAATTTACGGTATCACGTGGTAAACCGACTTTACCTACTATTCGCACTGGTTGAATCCTCGCCAACAATGAGCATAGTACGGGGCTTGATTCTTAGGCGATGCACTGACAAACCGCGCTAAGTTTATAGCTAGCCATGTAAAGTGGGAAGCTTTGGCTTAAGACTAACAACATCACCTCATGAAGAAAACACCACTGCTACTGAAACTTCATAGTTCAAATCTGAGGCCCCATTTTCCACTGGGAACACAAAAAAGATAAAATAACACTAAGTAATTGTGTAATAAATTAGGAGGTTTATTTTAAAATTCACTAATATTATAAATTAATTTAGGAAGAATATAATAATTGAGTACTCTGACTGTAAAACTTAGAGATTTCTGAGAAACCGATAGTTTGTACATTTTTTTGTCAAAACGTTCGAGTGAATTATATTGTTAAATGTCCCGTAATAATGTTTTGGGATAAATGAATGGAAACAGAGTCATGTGAAAAAGTGACCACATATTTTGAAATAATAGAAAAAATTTGTAGCTCTGCAACTAAACCAACCAGCTCAGAGAACACTATTAATTGCTGACCACATATTTGTTAAATACGACTACATTTTAGCAGACCATGTATATTGAAATGAATTGTGCGAATGGTCAAGCTGAAGACAGAACATCCAAAAGTATCTTCTAAATATACATGTGTACATTCCAGTAAACTCACAAAGGTTCTTTTGTATGCCAGGCATCAAATCTTTTAGCATATGTGGTAATGGATAAAATTAAAATAGCCGTAAAAGTCGTTCACCTAGATACCCGTTAATTAACTCACTAATGCTCACATTGTTTAAAAGATGTAGATAGGTATTTCCGAGTACAAAAAATTAAGTTCCTAAGGCAAAGGCTAACACAACTGGCTCCACAGCAGCAGCTTATCCTAATGATTTGATATTATTTCTTTAAAAAACATTACAGTTTTTGATAACAGAGATCTTTTAAACTACTATGTATGTGTAACTTTAGAGAGTGATGAAGATGTTACCAAACAGAATATTCTCTGCTCAATGATCAGTCTTTTGAAATAATTTCCTACTTCATATTGTTGCCTCTGTGGCTTGATTTACCTGAAAAGACTTAGTTTTTCATCGGGTGTTCACGCTATTATATGTTCTATTCATTTACTGCCTCATGCAAGAAGCATATTCTTGACGCCAATCTATCTCTTCTAATGAAGCGAATTATTGCTGGAGTTAATGTCCTTAGTTCTTTACATATTATTTATTGCATATGTAATATATATAATATGCTTTCGGGGATGAATGACGGTATGGTACTTCACTAAGGGAATTCACATTAAAATATTTTTCATCATAAGTTAGAGTTTATCCAAAGACACACAAGAGAAGACAGACATCACTTAAAAGTGTCTCAGTTTGCGCAAAATTAGTTTCACTGTCGCTTATAAATACAACAAGAACTTCAGTGAGTTTTGATTATTAAACACTGGAAGTTAGGCGGATATTTGGCTTAAGCTCAGAAGGTCATTTGAACAATATTCATCGCATTAAAACAGTGCTTCCATTTTATTACGTTTGTAAAATTTCATATTTCCCTCTTTTATATGTGCAAATCCAAACTGTGACGCACAGTGAGAGTAAGTTAGTCTTTTAGTATCCTTTTGAGTAAGGAAACTATGAGTTTGCTTTGTGTACATTTACAAATGTAACGATTTAACTGTACTTAACACTATATTTTATGAAACTTATATTACTGTTAACAGAAATGATAACTAAATATTGATGTAACATGGATGGAGATAGTCACCTGGCTCCTAGGTCTCGTGCTTTTGTACTCATCAGCAAACTATCTGTATTCTTGGAAGAACTCATTTCCTTTCTGAGATTCAAGTCTTTGGTAGTGACGAGCCACCTAGCTCGGTTACCTGACCGACAGAATTCACTCGGCACCAAACCAAGGACTACATGCATGTCATTGCTACCACATGGTGACCAATCTGTCTATAATTTAATATTCTTATGAACAAAGCCAAAGTTATAAGAAATGGAGGAATCTACTTAAAAAGTTAATGAGGGAGAAAAATGTCTGTTTTACATTTCTATTTACGTGATGAAGCCTCCTAGTTTTAATAATTATTTGTGAGAATTAGAGCATTATGCTGAAATAGAGTCATACACTTAAAAAGATTTGATAAAATATCTGTAATTTCTATTTAAAATGGTTTACCTGATCGAAATTTCTACAAAATGCGTTGAATTGATGTTTCAGAAGTATGTAAGTAATCACATTCATGCATAAATACTTTCTCACTTACTATTACTCTCTTGAGTTCCGAGTGGAACATGTTGCTTCAACCACATATCTCCATTTCATACTGTTCTCTGGAGAACTCCCTGGTTGGTCTCACGATTGCCCATAAGCTCTCATCTCTCCCTCACACGATCCCTCAAGTCACCCTTGAATGCCCAACTCGCCGTTTCCAACTCGGGTTCCACTCGAGAGCCAGCTTTGTTGCTAATGCTTTCAGTCTGATTTTCGGTGTTGAGCTAAGTAAGCTGTTGATGGTATTCTGTAGAAGCCTGTTGGGAATGCTTTTTGTGACGTGCGTATCAAGAACTGACTTGAAATCGGTACTGAAAATTCGGAATTTTGTATTTTATGCTGCTGAGTGCGGCAGGTTTCCATTCTGATTTCAACTGCCTTTGAAATTCCCATCTGTACCGCCTGTAAATAAAAAGTTACTACCTTGATAACTGAAAGAAATAACTTACTTCAAACTTCTCTAGTTCATGGTGATTGATCCTTGTTGTCGGTTGTATTTTCTTTACCTCTGCCTTCAATGGGAACTTCTTGTTTTCAATCTGCAGGTCTTCAGTTCCATGTACCATTGGATATATATCATCTACGAACTCTACATCTTCAAACGTATGTCTGTCTTCTCGCCCTGTCGGGTCTCCTGCATGAAGCAGCCCACTACAGTCAGTAATATCATCAGTGACAGAAGGCAGTATTGTCGTCTGAAGTGACCAGCTCATTGATACCTTTGTTTCCCCCTCTTGGTGGCTAGGTTCCATTCGCTGTCTTTCATAGGCTTAATCTGTGTTCATAAATGTCCAAAAAAGTTCACTTTTAACAGTCTGAAAAAATTTGCGTACTGGGAAAATGATATTCATTATGATAAAAGATTTCGTATCACCCGGATAGAGGTTTAGTTATATAACACAATATCCTGCGATCTCTTTTGTCTGAAGCCTGTTGTGCTTCTGTTGACAGTGTGTCGCAGAATTGTCTTTTGTCTTTCCCAACACTCTTCTCCACTTCTTTATTCAATGCATTGTAGACTGAAGCCAGTTTCTTTCGTAATTGCCACTCTACTCTATTAGCTTTCTGGTATCCGTAGACAGCCCTTCCAGGTCGTTCCAACTAGTTTCCTTCGAAATCACTTGCGAAGAGTTCAAATGTTGTTTCACACAAGTTTCCTCAATGATAGTACTTAATGTCTCCGACTTCCTTCTGATGGCCTAAGTGAAGCTGTTATTGTAGTTTCGTCCATCAGTTTCTGGGTTTTGAAGTGTGATCTATCTTAAGCTTTTTTGGAAACCCCCAACTTGGCCTTGAAGCTTGACTGGAGTAAGTATTGATATAAGATTAAATCTGACTTGATTTTGCATATGGCAGACTACGTCTCCACTTTCTTGAGTGAAATTATGTCTATCTGATTTTTAAGTGTGTCCGTCTGGTGAAACGCAACTCGCCTTATATATGTTTTTCCGTCTGTACGTACTGACTTCAATCACTGATTCATTAAGAGCACAGAGGTCCGTGAAGAGTTCTCTGTTCTCATTCATCTTGCCAAGAGCCTCTCGATCCATGTGAGTTCTCTTTCTGTGTTATTTGGTACCAGTTAGGTATTCATATAACCCATTAAGATTTGATTGTCACTATTTAGCGTCATGTCTATTACTCTCCGCAGTTATCCTCTGGGTTACAAGAGCAGACTATCGACCCTCCAGTTAACAATTAGGAGATTCCGCATCCTTACACTGGAGCTCGCAGATTCCTGTAACTTCCATACAATATGAGCAACTTTTCCAGCTTCGAACATCGTTGGGAAATTGCACGTCCCCCTGTTTATTTCTTGCTTTCATCAAAAGAAGACAGAGTGGTTGACTGGTTTCCCGAAGGCTTTCACCAGCCTGCGTCATTCTGTCTCTCCAATTACAGCGAAGAATAAATTGGGTTTTATATTTCTGTTGCGTTTTGAAATTCCAGTAGCGACTTGAGTGATTTTTCGGGGTTGGGCCACTAGCCTCATCCCACAGCCTTCCCTCTCTTCTCAGGCCTAGGACTGGCTACCAAACTGGGCGATGTTACGAATTTAATTAACCCTAAAATTTCCGGTGTTTTCCCTGTAGGAAATTTTTTATGAGTGGAAAGAATTATCGTAGTACAGCAATACCTTTATTCATCTTTCGTCATCAAATAAGCTCAAATATTTAATAGGCACAAAATAAAATAAAGTACATGGTATCTTTACAAAAACTATTTTCTCAAAACTGTTTAAATTTTTGCCAGTTAATTCAAAATGATATTGGTTAGCATCAGACGAATAATACACCACTCCCACCATTTCTCTAAATAAATAGAAAAATGGACATAATATTTAAACCATAATTTGGTAAAAACAATTTAGTTCCAAAGATATCATTGTATTTTTTCAAACGACTTACTGTTCAATTTAAACAGCATTTCCATTTGCATAAATTTTACTTATAGTCGAATACAGTAAGTGTTATTTGACAAACGAGTCGGTTACACAGTGGTCAATATAAGCGTAAGAAAAGTTACTACAACATTCAGACAACAAATACACTCTGGCTTTCCCAGTGTATAATTTCTTGTGCACATTGTAACAAATGAGAGAGAGAGTCTTAAGGAATTATTCCCTCAGAGTGCTCAGATGAGGCAATTGAGGTTACTTTATGTCCAAACAGTTACATTTCAGTTTTGAAGAGATGTCTTACATAACAAAGCAATGGCACTCTCAATTTCAAGGTGTTGTTAATCATCCTTTACAGAATTTATACAAACGTTACCTTCTAGAGTAATTGCATAAATACGAGACAACTTCATGCTTATGTTAGTCAGTTACGTATTTCTTGTGGTAATCCGCGTAACAGATTTCAAAGTTTTATCCTCTATACAGTAGCTATCGATGTCTACGACAGGTTATTTTAAAATTAACATTTATTTCAATTTACTCCTTATTTCACAGTTCATGAGACATGATTCATTAAGTACACTTTTCCATCTACATTATTCATTTTTATTAAAAAAAAGTGTTGAATCAGACTGTGAAAGTGCTTTTCCGGAGGTGAGTGATGTTACTTATTCACTCCTTTGATACATAACATTTTTCAAAAATGTATCTAAGATAGGGAAATTAGTGTGACATACAGAGTTATAAAAGCTCAGCGAAAATAAATCCCTTGCACATTTCGTTGCAGTCAAACCCCCTTTTCAATAACTGTGTGTGTGACCTTCATTCCCGTAAATCCTACATAACCGTGTTATTTTATGTAGTGAACCATAATGCGTTCACTATTGGTTGTTTACAGTTACTCAAGATCTGAAGTAGATGGAAACCTCTTCAGTCATGTGGAAACTGTCTTCAGTACTATCATCATTTTCTGTTTCGAGTTGATTAACACATTTCAATACACCTGCCATACAACTGCGCTCGGAAAGCGGTTATTCGAATATTAGGTATTAGTGAACAGAAAGCAGATCATTTTAAGAAATACGCTACCGTACTAGGTGGAATTAGAATTACGTTTTAATGAGGAGATAGACAACGCAAGTGTAGAATCTGGACGATGTTGTCTAATATCACTGTATACTAGATGAGTTTATTTTGTATTACGCACAGTGTTACAGTATTGTCAACTGGATTATGTTTCGAAATTTACTATCCATATTCTAATATCATAGTAACAGATGCGTCATATTTTTGTTTGACATCTCATCCACTTATCACTACTATATATCACTATTTGTTATATCAAATAAACTTATCTGATATGGAATGAGATAGATAGTCAGTATTGTCAAGTGCAACATAACAGCATCTTTCTGTCTGTCTTCAATTAAAATATATATTTGACCTTGAGGCAAAAGTCACTTCCCATTAGTATTGAATCTGTTGTTATGACGCATATATGAATTTACTTCTTGCAAATCAAGCTAATCCTCATTTGTATTTCTTATTTTTGGTTTAAAGTAAGTCTTTATTGGATTTATTCGCATTTGTGTACATTTCGGGCTAATTTCTAACTGGTAATGAAGGGTATTTATTCTGCGATATCTAATTTACTGGTTTAATGCAGTTGGCATCTGCATAGACCAATTATTTGTTACCTTCCTAATTATGAAAGCCTCCTAAGAGATGAAGTTACGTTCTCATTGGTTGGTGGTCACGCTAAATCACGAATTGGTAGAAATTAGAATTCATGGACTGGCCACTGAATCGGGTCGCAGTGGCCGAATGGTATACAAGCTTGCCTTGTGTCCGCGAAATCCTGGGTTCGAAACCCAGTGAGTGCGTACTGCCGATGATTCCCAAACTATGATGAAACAGCTGTCCAGTACTCCCTGGTTTTCAATGGTTCTGTAATTGATATCAATCCGTGATCAACTCGTTCTCACATAAGTTTTGCATTCTGAAGTTTTCGTTGTTGTGCGTCTCATGATGGATAATACTGAGGGGCAGTACGTGCGCTCGGCCAGTTATAAAAATTACCAATCAAAGAATACGGGGGTAAATATAAAAATGATATCCCATAGGTGACAGTAGGTTGAGCTGGAGATGGAAAAGAATAATAACAATTATATTGCACTATAAATATCCAGACCTCAAATGTTACAGACTTCATGGAATAATTATATTAATCATAATCTCTGTAAATCCAACTTATTTTCAGAAACCAATGAAAGTGAGTAGTCTACTTTTATAATAACCTCCAGTTAAACTTGATCACAGTTACTGTACTCCAATTCATGGGAACTAAATGTTCATTAAACACATATCCGAGTATAGAAATTTTGTAAACATCGTTAGTGTTAGGACACTTCGAAATAACTTTTCAGCGCAGACATCTCAAATGCTTCGGAATTTTATAAAACGCAACTATAAATTAGTTATGGGGTGTCAAAATAAATAGTCGTATTTGTGTGACAAACTTGCTGGGCTGAAATCGATTACAAAATATTGTAAAATGGAAGACAATGGTGATTAGTCATAATAGATTTGTAGAGAGTGGGTTAGGAAAATTAACAAGTCAGTTCAAGGTTATAAAAGGTGTCAGGTGAGTGGCTAGTACAAAGTGGTATGCACTAAAGAGGAGATAGTCAGACTGCAATGAGAGGTTCATAATGTAATAACTAATGTGTGAAATGAAACAGGTGGAGGCATATATTGAGAAAAGAGATAATCTCACTAGTAATAAGTCCGGATAGTATAAATGGAAAAATCGATAGTATTGAGAGAATGTTTGCATGAACGGTTTAAATTATGACGAATAATAATTATAATAATACATGGATAATCCCCATCCAGGCAATAATGAAAACAAAAAACGTAGTTCAGCGAAAAGTCTCTTTTCGACGAATTCATTTTCTTAGCTATACAATCGCGTCGGTGGCACAGTGGTTAGGACTCTCGCCGTCCATGCACATGGTCCGGGGTTCGATCCCCTGCCGGCGCACACCCGATATCTATGGTATGCCTGAATTTGGGCAACTGATATCCATGCTGAAAATTCCATACTTGTAAATACGGTGTGGAATCAAGCTGTAAATAAAAAAAAAAATATGTATGTATATATATTATTTTGTATGTATGTGTACATTAAGTTTATCAAACAAAACTACAATTGGTTATGGTTATTTTAACTAAACAGGTGAAGATTGGTAATTGGAGTTATGTAATACAAAATCAGTCAAGAAAATTAGGTGTTAATGAAATTAGGGTAGTAACAAAGGTGATGAGTTGTCACAAACAGTTGTTAAAAGAAGTTATGTAATAATGTGAATAGTTTGATGAGTGAGTTTTACTCAGATACACATAGGAACAAAGTAGAGAATACGAAATTACGTCAGATTTCTAAACGAATACAAGAATTATAGGCAATTCAAGAATTGGCAGACAAACAAAATTAAGTCGTCAAAATCAACAAAGTTGTTAGCAAGACAGTAGAAGTGGTTGAGTAATTCTCTTTTGACAAGTGATTTAATTAAATTCCACTTTTGTTGAATGGGTACCCAGCTATAGAAGCTTGTTAGTTGACAATTCCACTATCACTCGCATCTGTAGTTTCAACGTACTAGAAACAGAATTAGATATTCTGAGAGAAATCTTCATCCAAAATGGATACCCACCAAGATTCATTGACAAAAGTATCGAACCAAGAATTTGGAGAAACGAAACTTCACTTGCGCCTAAAAGGAAACTCTACATGAACTTGGATTTCAGGGGAGATTTAACAAACGATATTCTCAAGAGAAGGATCATATCATCTATGAGAAGAACATTCTTTGCAGCAACACTAAGAATAGTGTTCTCCAGTCGCCCACTGGTCAGCAGAAACCTCAAGGACAAGATCCCGCATCTAACCACTTCTATGTGCATATATTAGTTCACGTGCTACTGTAGAGGCAGGTACATCGGTCGTTCGACGCCCATCCTGTCCAAGGGGATTCAAGAACACTATCCAGCGTGATTGTGAAAAGGCAATAGTGGTGCAATAAGGAGTGCGATAATTGTACACCTGGTTAAAACTGATCATTCCATCTCAACAAACACCTTCTTCAAAGTAATCTACAGAGTCGAGAATAACCTACCAAAGGCAATACGGTTTCATCTCCTTTGTATCGCTGAAACTCTGGGCATTCACATAGAAAAATCGGAGCCGTGCACAAAAAAGAGAATTACTCAACCACTTCTACTATTTTTTAAATCATGGAAAATTCCCATTGTAACATATAGAAAATCAAACAAATGATTCAGCGAAGAGACTCTTTTCAACAAATTTATCATCAAGCTTCACAATCGTATATATATAGTTTTTAAGAAGTTATATCCGGTGAGGGAATTGAAACATAAGTGTGAATGCATAGTTACGAAAAGGTGGAAGTGGAGCAATAAGAAGCTCGATCATTGAACATCTGGTCGATAATGATCACCCTATCTCTATAGCCTCCGCCTTCAAAGTCATCTACAAGGCAAAGGGTAATTTACCCAAATCCCTACGTACCCGACTCATCTGTATTGCTGAAGCTTTGGCTATTGAAACAGAAAAGCCAGATCTCTGTGTACAGAAAAAGTTCGTTCAACCCCTCCAACTTTCATGGTCTTAATCCCTGTATGCTAAAGTATGGTAATCCCCAATCATATTTTAGCTCTACCAATTCTTCATTTTTTCATTTTTGTGTATTCAGTTTGTATGCTCTTCCTTATTACGTCAATTGTTACTATTACTACTCTCACTTTTAATTGTCCCCGGTATTATTTCACTTGTTCCACTTGTCATTCTAAATCATTTCCTTTATGCAACATTAAATTCTATGCTATTAAATTTCACACAATATTACGTAACGTTCTTATTTTATTCGATTTGTCTACTAATCTTATAATTGCACACCCTTTTTCAAGTTCTATACATCTTATGAATTATTTCATATATGACATTAATTCGCTTTGCCACTTAACATTTAACTATGATTATAATCACAAACACTTTAGTTTTAATTGCATTTCATATTATTATTATTATTTTATGCATTCAATTCCTTTACTTCTACTATATCATGGTAACGACTTTGTTTTTTGATGACTTAATTTTGTTTGCTTGCTTATTTCCTTAATTGCTTATAATTCTTTTATTCATTTAGAAATCTTACGTAATTTCGTATTCTCTACTTTGTTCCTATGTGTATCTGAGTAAAACTCACTCATCAAACTATTCACATTATTACATAACTTCTTTTAACAACTGTTTGTGACAACTCATCACCTTTGTTACTACCCTAATTTCATTAACACCTAATTTTCTTGACTGATTTTGTATTATATAACTCCAATTACCAATCTTCACCTGTTTAGTTAAAATAACCATAACCAATTGTAGTTTTGTTTGATAAACTTAATGTACACATACATACAAAATAATATATATACATATATTTGCGATTGTACAGCTAAGAGAATGAATTCGTCGAAAAGAGACTCTTCGCTGAACTACGTGTTTTGTTTTTAATTATAATAATAAGCAAAGAAAGTAAAGAAACCAAGAGGGTTTAGGGGAAGAAGCACTCTTGCTGAGAAGAAGAATACTATTTATTTTGACAACCCATAACTAATCTGTTATTCTGCGTAAAAATGTATCCGCCGCATAACTGGCCATTATTGTAACGGCAACTATAAATATTTGAAATTTTCTTAGCAGCCTGCTGAATGATGGAGACCGAGAATGTTTTACTCGGAATGACTTCTTTTCTGTGAACTTATTGTGATTATTTCAGAATTTAGGCTGAGATTTAAGTTAATCTCTCCATGTTTGTTGCATAGATCTTGACACTGTGTTATGTAAATTTATTTGGTATTTTTAGTAAAACATTCGATAATTTAACTTCGATAAGATGTTTTTCAACATTCCTGTTTTTCAAGTAAACTATTCTGACGTTAGATGTCAAACGTCTTGATACATCCATGTGCCTTCAAATATTCATTCGTCAATTCTCATTTCCAAGAATGTGTTTCAAATCCAATGCTATCTTCTACACAAATTTTCTCCAGTTCATTTTCAGTTTTTCTAATATTTATTTATCTCATACAGCTAATCCATGTAAGAATTGTTTAATGCATGTATCCTCTAAACTATTTCCAGTTAAAGCATAGATGTTGGAGACTTTGATCAAGTTATCATAACAAGTGACGCAATATTGTCTAAATTTCGTTCTCATTGTTAAAAGTAGAATTTTCCATTGAAGGAAAGCAACATGCACGTTTATCTTACCAGTGACGGTAGATATAAATTCATATCCTACTTTCAGTAGGCAGTAGACAGATGACTCATAATTCACATTTTGTTAAATTTTACGCTCAAATATTAAGAATTAAGATACTGATCTTTGTGCGCCAGTGGTACAGTGGTAGAATGCTCGTCAACCACACCTCCTGTGGTCTGGGGTTCGATCCCCGGCTAACACACTCCTTTACCTCGCTAAGCCAGTAATAAGACTGGTAAAGAGGGAAGGTTATGCATGAGGCTAGCAACCCCATCCCATGAAAATAAACATTGCTGCTACCAAAACTTCGAGCCTGTGGCCCGACGCTCTATGTCCCATTGGGAACTTAAAGGAATAAAGAAATATGGATTTTTTAAACCATTTCTTTCTTCAGAGGTCTCAGTCACTGCATAAATGGATTAGTTCTTAAATCACTACTGAAATTAGTAGTCGCACAGTATATGAATCAATCTATAGTGCTAATCAGTTGGAGTTTCAAATAAATCTAAATGTCTTGTTGAACAATAAATATCCCCTCCCCACTTTTGTTTACTTGTTTTTAGTGAGAGAAAGTAAGCCGAAATCGACCAGTTTACTCTATGTATAACGATGATCTCTAGTCTTTTACTAATGGCCTCTTAATCAAAACAACTTCTGTGGTCCGTTTTGCATGCAGAACGGAGTCTTAGGATATACATTCATAAAAAGTGACAGTTAATAGCTGAAACAACAAACTTTTCCCATTAGAATGTTTTGGAATGTAACATGAATGAATAACACACAGTAAAAAGTTTCATTTGATTAGTACGATCATTTGAAACTCGTTACAAAAACATTTACTATAGTTTATTCACAGGACTATAAACGGCTAAGTTCCAGTACTGCGTACTTACATACTCAAGTTCATATGTAATGATGTGGCAATTTA